AACCACGAGTGAAATACTATCAGTACTTAATGAAGTGCCTATTTAAACTCCTAGGTATAATTATGAAATGTTTTAATCTGGTAGCATCTGTATCCATGGCTTCTTGGCTGACATTTCTATAAATCTGTCAGAATTCCACATCCTAAGATCATCTATCAGTGTTTTCTCAACTTCATACTACTAGCTCTACTCATGGCTACCATTTTTTGTTTTCTGATGGAGTAAGAAAAAAGCAATGAAAGAATGGAATGTATGATATTTACTTGTTTAAATAAAATGCACACAGATTAAAAAATTGATATATTTATATTGTCAGAAGGTATATATATATATATATATATACTCTCCAGAGTGTGACAGAAAGAGAGAGGGAGAAGAAAGCACCTCAGTGGGGTGTGGTCACACCGCCATTTCTTCTCTTCCTGTCAGGATTACACACACACACACACACACACACTCACACTTAGCATGTTTTTCAAGCTGCTGGCCTGAGATTTGAATTGTAGTTGATCATATTAAATCTGCCTCTTCTAACCACTAGGCTGTGGGGCTGGCCTCACCTTATTTATTTATTTTTTTTTTGAGAGGTTTTTGCTATAGGGCGTGTGAGCTCGCCAGATGGACAGAGACATAGAGACAGAAAGCGAGAAATAACCCCCCTGGGGGGATGGCCACTCCGCAATCCCTTCTCCTCCATTCTCCTCTGGGGATCCTGGGCACACACGCACACGCGCCCAGCGTGAGTTTAAGCCACCGGGTCCGGGACTTGAACTGCAGTTGACTATGTGGGAGTCCAGCGACATAGCCATTATGCTAACTGCTGGTCCCTTTTTTTTTTTTTTTAAAGAGCTTTATTGATACATAGTTTACATATTATAAGAATAATTTATTTTAGAAGTATAATTCAATGATTTTTAGTATATTAACAGATCTTGCAGTCCTAAAAAACACAATAGAATTTTAAAAGGAGAAAGACAGAGAGAGGGAAAGTGAGATATCACTCCCCAAGGGGGATGTCTACTTGGCAGTCCCTTCTCTATTTTCCTCCTGGGATTTCAGACGTGCACGCACACATGCTCAGTGTGATTTTTTCAAGCCACAAAGTCCAGGACTTGAACCACGGTTGGCCATGTGGGAGTCCAGCTCCTTAACCACCATGCTCCCTGCTGGCCTCGGGCATGCATGCTTTTCAAGCTTCAGGAACCGGTATTCCAACTGTGGTGAGCCATATGGGATCTGGCTTGTTTAACTCCTAGGTTATGGAACTGGCCCTGGGAAAATTGTTTGGAATGACAGGATTACCACTGTAGGAGACCCAGTGTTCTAAATTGTGTTTGGAGATTTGTCCATGGCATGGTCTTAGCTCACTCTTTGCTGCTTTGCTTTCTAGATTTTTTCTTTTGTTTTAAGCCTGAATTTCTCAAATCCCTAAAATTAAGTGGTAATTTTACCTACCCACACATGTATGTTTAGATTAAGCAGATAATACGTTTTGAAAAATGGTGAATAATGTCTTACATACTCAATAAATTGATAATTTTCTCTAAAAATACTGTTAGCAGTTTTGTTCTCCCATCATTTGCAAATATAACCATTGTAACTCAGATGGCTTAAGTTCTTAGTAGTCATTTGTAAGCTAGAGACTGCTTCAATTCTTATACCTTTCATCATGTTGGGTACAGAGCTTGCAGAGATTAATAAAATGAAGTCTGTGTTCTCAGAGAGATCACTATTTCTCAGAAAAGACAGTTAATACAATTAACTGTAAATCATTGTGATACATGTTATTAAAAAAAGTCTTGTTGGGGAATTGGAGAAGACTTTATAGAATAAGTCTCGAAAGGAAATTACTGTTAGCAGTTAGTGTATTCTATTCTGCATCAGATTTTATTTCTATTTATAAAAATTATTCAGAAAGCTGTTCTGTTTGCCAATCTATCTTGGTAGTCAGATTTACGTGAAGTTTCTCCTCAGAAGAGCACACAATTTTATTTTGTTTTTCAAATGACATAAAAGCCTCAAGGCAAGTAAAATTCCTGTTTACTGTTTTAGATAGATATATTTTTTACATTATTTAGGCTTATAATGAAATACCATTCAGTCAACCTAATTTTCCTACTTTCTGTACCTTAAAACTATCATTTATTTTTATCTGAAAGTTATTAGTCATATGTACTATGCAAATTTTAGGTGCAAACATACACAAACACACATACATACACTTAAGTACTGTGCAGAGAAAGCTGGATCCCACAATTGACCAGGGTTTGAGTTCTGGTCCTAGTGGCTTGTGTACCCCAGATCTTGATGGGATAGAGAATTGGAAGAAAAAGAATTACAGCATGACTAGGTCCTATTAGGGGGTGCTTTCTCTTTCTCTCTCTGTCCCCCTCCTTCCTCCCTCTCTCCCTTCTTTCCCCTCCCCCTCATCTCCCTTTTTCTCTCTTTCATGCCCACATGCCCTCTGGCATAATAATAATAATAATAAAAGAACTTTAAAAAATCAACTCATCACTTAAATGAAAGGAACTTCGTAATCAGATCCTGTAATGCTATGTTCTTTTGGCCACACTTTACAGAATAAATGAAACCAAGGTGGGAGAGGTACAGTTCATCTCACTTTAGAATGTACCTTGTCCCTGCATCTTGTCCAAACTTTATCTGCTTTAAAAGGACCTTGTCTCAGTAATCACTTTGCATACCATGGTCCCTGTAATACCTGCACTCATGTCACTGGCCAACATTTATCTCTCCCTGAGTTATCCCATCATTTGCACGTGTAATCATTGTCTGAATTATTAGAATTCAAACTCCTTGAATGTAGGGTACGAGTTTTGTCTTTAGTACCTTGGTTCAAATAAATACTATAATAGACAACTATAAGACAATAAATTATTTAAATTGAGTTTACAAAACTCAGGTTTGGTGAAAACGTATTTTATTGTACTTTAACCCCTCTTTTAGAATTTTGGCTCTGAAATCAGGGACTGTTAGATCTCTAGTGTGTCTCGTGTGCTGCTACCAACATGCAAATATAATCCATATTTACTCAGGTAGACTGCAGGTTTAGCTGCTTTAACACCTCAAAACACTGAATAGGATACTTTATTTCTCTTTCAAGTCAGTCTGGACATGAACTGTCCAGTTTGCCACCTTCAGTATGGGACTTTTGTGTCTGGATCCAAGCTAGCGGGTTCATCTCTTATCTTCTCCCAGGTGATGGGAAAAGAGAACAGGCCAAGGGAACACAGATCCCATCGGGTTAATAGCAAAACACATAATTTCGGCTCACATTTCATTGGCCAGAACTTGGTATGTAGCTAGGTTTTGCTGCCAGAAAAGCTGGGAAGTATAGTCTTTGTCTGAGCAGCCAGGTCTCTAGCTGAAATTCAAATTCAAATGGAATAATGGCAAAACTGATATTAAAGACAACAGTATCTGCTACGCCGTTTGCAGTTTTGTTTTGTTTTGTTATTTTTTTGCTATAGGGTGTGTGTGCTTGCCAGAGAGTTGGGGTGGAGAGGTGAGAAATCACCCCCCAGGGGGATGGCCACACTGCATTCCCTTCTCCACTCTTCTCTTGAGATTTTGGGCATGCACACACCTGCATCTGATGTGACTCTTGAGCTGCCGGGTCTGGAACTCAAATGTCCATGCTACCTGCTGGTCCTGTGTTTCCATTTTTAAAATTAGTAGATCATTCTTGGAATCAAACCTGAGTATTCAACTAAGTAATGAGACATTGTAGATCTTTTGTTACACAGACTGTTCCTTTTACTATAGGTGATGCAGAAGGTCATATAGAGCATTCCCAGTGAGAAATTTACCATCTGTTTTAGAAGACAGAACTAATTACAAATGGAGAAAAAAAAATAAACAAAAAACAGCAGGTACCTATTGTGGCATATTATGTGAAACACTTGTCATGAGCTGTAGACATTTATAGGAAAGGGGAATGAAAAGGTAAAGTCACAGGAAAAACATTATGGAGAAAATAGTAGTTAGTCCCTAAGATGGAGTAGGGTTTGTACAGTCACAAGCAGAATATTCTAGGCAAGAAAAATGATGTGCAGGGAAGTGCTAACACAGCATAATGGAGTTGTATTTGAGGGAAAGAAAGGAATCTGTTCTCATCAGCTCCTAGAGTATTTAAGTTGGAGTTGGGGAAAATAAAGACAACTTAAGAAGGGTCAAGATAGAGATGATCATGAGGGCTGACTTGTGATAGGTAGGTAGTTAGAAATGAGTGGGTAGTTTTAAGAAAATAGTAGCAGGATAGTAGTCACATTGATTATAATTTACTAGGTGTTATGATTAGATTATTTGTAGAGGCTTTTTAAAATTTATTTATTATGGTACAGCTGCTGTGCAGAAGAAGCTGGATCCCACGTGGCTGACTGGAGTGTGAATCCTGTCCTTGGTGTTCTTCCCTAGCCCTGTTATTCTCAGCTTCTTGGAAACCTGACAGTGTTTATCTTTTTTTTTTTTTTCCCCTTTAGAATCTCCTCTGATTCTGTACTGCTTTTACTTTTTGCCCTAAGACTTAGCACTCTGCTTTTTCCCCTCTCTCTCTCTTTTCATTCTTTTTTTAATTACCAGGGTGTGTGTGTGTGTTTGAAAAAAAGGTGAGGGGAGAGAGAGAATCCCTCAATGGGGGCATGGTCATGCTGCAATCCCTTCCCCGTCAGGATGAGACTTGGGGGACATGTGCACATGCATGTGGCATGTTTTCAAGCTGTTGGAGTTGAGATTTAAACCGTAGTTAGCCCTGTGGTATCTGGCTTCCTTAACTTCCAGGAAGCTGGCCTAGCTCCTTTTTGTTCTTGAGGCCGAAACTTTCATTTTAAAGAAGACACTCACATCTATATTTCAGGTTGAACTTTAATGATATATCCTTAATTGCTTGTAAGATATTTTCATCTCAGGTTGTCACTATCACTTAAATATTCAACACATATCATGTCAAGTGTTCTGATTCTTCAAGTGTGCTTATGCTTTACATCCCAGGTGCAGAATTTAGAGGCGTCTTGGTTTCTACCATCTCCTTTGTCGCTGTATTTTCTATCACTGCACCCTTTCAGTTCTTCTTGGTGGTCCTTACATTTGTTCATCTCTATTCTTATTGACATGCCATTTATTAGTTCCTTAATATGGTAAGTACATGAAAACAGATCAAGAAGTATACTGACTGTTTAAGTTAAAAACTTGGTCAAGAATAATCTAGAACCTTGCTATTTAAAATGTGATCTGTGGATGGCAGCATGGGCAATCCTGGGGACTTGTTTGGGAATATAGAATATAGATGCCACTCAAGGGGCTATAGAAGTAGAGTTTGCCTTTTCATAGTATCCCCAGGTGGTGTGCATGTGCTCAAAGTTTGAGAGACATTGATCTGGGATTCACTGTGAATTTCTTTACCTTCTCTTTTTTTTTTTTTTGGAGAGGTTTTTGTTACAGGGCGTGTACGCTCGCCAGATAGACAGAGACAGAGGAAATCCCAAATGGGAGACACCCCCCAGAGGAGATGGCCATGCCACAATCCCTTCTCCTCCATTCTCTTTTCAGGATCATGGGCATGCATGCACACGCGCCTGGCATGAGTTTAAGCTGCCGGGTCTGGGACTCAAACCGCAGTCGACTACGTGGATGTCCAGTGACATAGCCATTACGCTAACTGCTGGTCCCTCTTTACCTTTTCTTAATCTGAGACTTAATTGCTAAAATAATTAAAACTTCCAACTATCTGTTTGTACCTTTATCTTAGGTCTGGAATGCCCTGTAAATTTCTTTACCTTCTTTTTTTTTTTTTTTTGGAGAGGTTTTTGTTACAGGGCGTGTACGCTCGCCAGATAGACAGAGACAGAGGAACAGAAAGTGAGAGATCACCCCCCAGAGGAGATGGCCATGCCACAATCCCTTCTCCTCCATTCTCTTTTCAGGATCATGGGCATGCATGCACACGCGCCTGGCATGAGTTTAAGCTGCCGGGTCTGGGACTCAAACCGCAGTCGACTACGTGGATGTCCAGTGACATAGCCATTACGCTAACTGCTGGTCCCTCTTTACCTTTTCTTAATCTGAGACTTAATTGCTAAAATAATTAAAACTTCCAACTATCTGTTTGTACCTTTATCTTAGGTATCTGTGTAAGATTCAAAACAGATTTTTATGTGTTGAAAAAGTGTTAGAAATGATGAGACAGAATGGAGACTTCCTCCTCCAGTTATTCTATGTAGAGTAGTCCCAGATGTTGTAATGTCAGTATGTAGAAGCTATTTCTCAGATTTGAAAGCAGAATATTTTACAGGGATAAGCTGTGTAATATACCTCTTATATAATTAAGGAATTTGGTGGGGGTTTGTGTTTAGTTTTACTGTATTATAATTACTGGCTTTACTATTATTTTGTCGAGTAACTCTGACCTTTAGGTTAAAAGTATGTACTTGAAACAGAAGTGTACATTTAAAAAATAAAGCTTGATTTTTTATTGTTATCTTATATATGTTTTCATAATCAAGTAATTTATAGAAATGTGTTAGATATAAGCTTCAGAATATATTTTGACATTGTATAAATACATTCTTCTGTGAGTCAGAGAAGCAGAGACAGAGACACATCACAGGCAATGTGTACCTGGTGTGCTCTGGGGGCTTTCTGGATGCAAACCTAGGACCTTTCTAAGTGGGTCATTTTTGCAGAGCATTAATTACAAGTGATATGTAAAAATAATCACAAGAAAATGTAAAATTATTGTGAAAAAAACATTCAAAATTATTAAGAATAGTTCAACTAAGGCTTGTATTCTTATAAATACATGTGAGTTTCTTGGTGTTTTCTAGAATTTTTCAACCAGAACCCAAAGAATGAATGTTTTATTGCCTACTTCAGTTCATGTATACATACTAGTGTTACTGAGATTATTCCCATTTCTGGGCTCAGAAAGTTCAGTGTAACCAGACCCACCAATAAACTTGTCCTTAGTCATGTCCTCTTTCTTTACCATCAGTTGCCTGCCTCAGTTTCACATTTGTAGTTATCTTTTCTTAATCGGCATTTTGCTGTTATTTTACATGGTTTTCAATTTATGTAAATGGTTTCCTACTGTTTGTATTCTTCTGTAACCTTTCTTAACTTCAGTGTCATGTTTGAGATTTAGCCACTATGATTGAAGGTTTTTTGAGGCAGTCTTTGTTTCATATTCCTGCCGCCTTTTTGTTCTGTTTTGTTTTGTAAATTTGCCAGAGAGCATTCAACCTTGCCAGAGAGACAGAGCATGAAGGAAAGCACCCCCTAATGAGGTGTGACTGTCACCTTAATCCGTTATCCTTTTTTTCTCTCCCTTTTTGGGATTTGGGGAATGCAGGCAAATGTGCCCAGTGTGCTTTTCAAGCCACCAGGTCCAAGACTCAGATCACATGGTTGGCCATGTGGAATCCGGCTCCCTCGAGCACCAGACCGTGGGTCTAGCCCTCTTGCCAACTTTTAATACTAATAGATTAAAAAACTTTTATTCACTATGATGTGAAATGGCGATCACTGTAACTTTAAAAAGGGTATTTCCCTTAATTACCAGTGAGATATTGTGTTTTTATGTTTATTTGCCATGCTTTTTTGAATTCCCATTTATGTATTTTTGCCCATGTTTTTGTTGGTTTAGTTGTCTTTATTTATTTTTAATTTGCTATAGAGTACATGCACTTGCCAGAGAAAGGCAGAGAGAGAAAGTGAGAAAGCACTCCCCTTCATTCACCCAGGATGAATGACTATGCTGCAGTCTCTTCTCCTCTGTTCTCTTCTTGGGGTTTTGGGCATGCATTCACACCTGCCCACCTCTTGTGCTTCAAGCTGCTAGGTCCAGGACTCAAACCGAGCAGTTGGTCATGTGAGATCCAGCTCCCTTAGCTGCCACACCACCTGGCTGGCCCAGTTGTCTTTTTCTTTATTGATTTCTTTTTTCTTTCTTTCTTTCTTTCTTTCTTTCTTTCTTTCTTTCTTTCTTTCTTTCTTTCTTTCTTTCTTTCTTTCTTCCTTCCTTCCTTCCTTCCTTCCTTCCTTCCTTCCTTCCTTCCTTCCTTCCTTCCTTCCTTTTACTTTCATTGTCTTTGGTTTTTATTTTTTGTTAATCTTTTAAGCAATATTTTGTGTGTTTAATAAAGAATTTACATTTTATTGTAGGATATAGTATTCCTGTCTCAGATATGCTGAGCGAAAATCTGTTCATATAAATTATTATTATTATTATTTTGGAGAGGTTTTTGCTATAGGGCACGTGATCTCACCAGAAAGACAGAGAGAGACAGAGAGACAGAAAGCAAGAAATCACCCCCCAGGGGGGATGACCACTCCACAATCCTTTTTCTTCCATTCTCCTCTTAGGATTTTGGGCATGCACGCATATGCATCCAGCGTGAGTTTAAGCCACCAGGTCTGGGACTTGCATTGCGATCACTACATGGGAGTCCAGTGAAATAGCCATTACACCAACTGCTGGTCCCCACATAAGTTAGTTTTAAATCTTACTATTTGGGTGGGGGGGAGTTTCTAGGAAAGCAAAATTAGTAAAATCTTTAAGATTCTTGAAGGTTGATTTATAACCTTTTGGTTCAACCAAGATGCATGTCTACTTAGCAAGCCACCATCAGTACCATTTGCAAATTTGAGCATATGATTTCTGTAAGCTTTTATTTTATATAAATCAGAATGCTGCTAATATGCTACCACTATGTTTATTTTAGTTTTTAATATTTTTTTTTGTTTCTTCTCCTTAATTAGGTCCTCGATGGGCTTCCTGGAATATTGGTGTGTTTATCTGTATCAGATGTGCTGGAATTCATAGAAATCTTGGGGTTCATATATCCAGGGTCAAATCAGTCAACCTAGACCAATGGACACCAGAACAAATACAGGTAATGTTACTCTACCAAGACAGTATTTAAAATATTTAACCCTAGTTGCACCTAAGTATTAACATTGAAATTGAGATGGCATATACCACATATAAAATTTGCATTTTATTTGAATTGCCAATTCACAGATGTTTATGTATTTTGGGATTTATAGTAAAGTCAGATTTCAATATATTTTTACATAACATTGAATTTTGAAATATTTAAAAGATAACGTTTTCTTGTGTTGATTAAATTTACTAGTATAATTTCAAAGTTTCTATTATTTTCTTGTCAGTAGAGGGAGCCTGGGTAATGATAAAGAAGAACATCATCTCTAGTCTAAAGTCTGATTTGAAGGATTTCTTTTTTGTACAGAGATGTTCTTGATTTTCAGACAGAGCCTGTTAGTTGGAAGATAGCCCAGTGAGTGATTATTCTTATGAGTGATTTAGACTTAAGTGGTTTAGTTTGTAATTTTAAGGGTTTGCCATTTTTCTAGTATGAGCCTTCCATTCTCAGAATCTTACTTTCTAATACTTAAGATTGGCTTCTAATGCAAAAATGATGACTTCTACTGGTCTTATTTTGTAATTCACAGTGAAATTACACTACTCTGTCTTATGCTCCTTTGACATTACTTTTAGTGAGTATGAAGTGCTGAAAATCTACATATATGTGGTTGACACTTAAGTTACTGACATGCATACCTTAGTAGCAGAGAAAAATAAAAGAATACAGACTCTTTCATGAATGAGATAAGGTAATAGTAAAAAGAATAAGAAATTTTCAGGCTATGAAGTCAATCATAATTTATTTAGTTTAGTCTTAAATTGGTTTTTGAGGGTTTTGCTGGCAAGAGCATAAAAGGAAATTTGACCCTTTAAGGTACTTCCAAGGTCCTCAAGGAGAAATCACACCAGTTACGTCAAACAGCTTTTTGAACACTACACATAAGGCAGTGTCTTTTTAGCCAATGTGGTAACACATTTTATGATGCTACTTATACGTCATTTTCACCAAAAATGTGAGGTGTAGCTTAAAAAATATAAATTGGTATTTGTAATGGGTTATGGACATACAGAACATTCAAACCAAAAGTGCATTGCTTTTTTAGTTGCCAGAGGGCACTTGTGCTTCACAGGGAGGATGGTGAGAAAGCAGTGTCCATGGGCCATGGCCATACCATAGCCCTTTTTACTCCATTTCTTTATCTCATCAGGATTTAGGGCACACATGCCTATGTACCCATTATGCTTTTCAAGGGCTGGGATTCTGATTGCAATCAGCCATGTGGAATCTGGCTTTCTATGCATAGTGTTTAACCACTGCATACAGGCCCAGCCCTGTATCACCTTTGTAATGCTTCTTTTCATACCAAGGCGGAAACTTGGGAATCCCTGAACAATTTAGTGCTCCATAAATATTATTTTTCTCAACTAGGCTGTTGAAAGAGTTGAATAAACTGGTTACTTGAGGTGGGAAGCTGTACAACTTAGAGAACTTACAGTCCACTGGTTTTCTGTAGAATAGGTTACAAATATAAGATACTAAATTATAACAAATGTAAGGATTTTTGAAATAATTATTAAGCAATACAGGTGGAGGATTTCTTTGAACTAGAGGTGTTTTGAATTTGAGATAATTTGGATTTTGGAATATTATTTATTCTTATGAGGTATCTTAGTGTTAGAACCCAAGTCTAAGCATAAAATTTATTTATGTTTTAAACATGCCTTATACATATAGCCGAAGGGTAATTTTATACAATATTTTTTATTACAGTAGTTTGATAGTAACCTATGATATTCAGGTGTGGAATTTTCCACTTGTGGCATTATGTAGATACTCAAAACATTTTAGACTTTGGATTTAGGAGTTTTGGATTAGAAATACTCAAACTGTATATAATATTTGAAATTGTATTTGGACCTTATTTGTTTGGGTCCACCTGTCAACTTATTGAAAAAAGTATTATTACTTTGAAATGCAGAACTTTATTATTAGTGCTTGTCATCAGGGAATGCTGTCTGATCCCATATTATATAGAGCTCTTCTTCCAGGTATGCTATGGTGAGAAATAAGATTAGAATCTCTCACTCAGAATTCAAATAAGCAGACCATAAAGTTATACTTTAAAAATAGAGACGCCTAATCATACAGACACATGGGTCGTCTGGTATTCTTGTGTTAGGCCTCTTGAGTTTTTTCAAGCACACCCAAAAACTGTTCTGGAGCTGTACAATATAAACAGATAAGTAACTGGTAAAGACTCCAGAATTCAAATTATAGAGCACAACCTTTATTTCAGCCTAGAAGATTTTAAGACAACTGATTCTACAGAGCTAATGGAACAGTGCGATTAAGAAAATTGTCTCTAAAGTCATACCGCCAGAGTTAGACCTGTATGATTTCAGCAGAATACTTAACCTTTCATAGGGTGCCTCAGTTTCTTCATTTGTAAGATGGGAATAGTAAGAGTTCCTACTTCTGGAGGTTCCTGGGAGGAATAAATAACTTAATATGGGGGCAGCATTTAGGACAGTTCTTGGCACATTATAAATGCTCAAATATTAGCTTGTCAGTGCTAACAGTTTTAGTCCATTTTTTGTTTGATATCTTTCTGATCTTAAGCAATTTAGCTTCCTAGTTAATCTGTTGTGATGAGTTGGTTGCTGAACGTACTGTTGAGTAAATAAAAAAAATTGATCTGTTATGGGATATTGAGTATAAATAATTTTTTACCAATAAATAATTACTTATACTTTACCAGAAAATAATTGTTAACATTTCATTTTTAGTAGTATTTGATGTGAAGACATTTTGAAGTGAGTAGTTAGTGATTACATCAGTTGTCTATTAAAGTTGCCACTCATTCAGATTTGAGCATATCCTCGTTCTGATGACAGTAGGTATGTTCCATATTATACAACTCTAATTATATCCTAGTATTTAATTTACTTACGTATTATCTTTTTTCCATTGAAGTATAATTATAGAGAGAACAGTGTCCATGTCTCTTGACTTCTATGAGTTTTGGCAAACGTATGCATTGTTACTAACACCCCAGTGAGGACAGAGCATTCCTATCACCCCAGAAAGTGCCTTTGTGCCGGTTTCCAGTCTGGTCTCCTGGGGCAGATACTACACTGATTTCTGTCTCCTTAGGTCAGTTATCCTATATATTGAAATGGTTATCTCTTGTCTGTTCCTATTAACTCAGACTCTTAATTTAGATGAGGAAAAATGATTATTATAATGTGATTTAGTGTTATTCTGTATTCATATGTTGTTTCATAAGAATTTCTCTAATATATAAAAATACTTGGGAGGTTTTCTTCCTTTTTTTTATAGGAGTAAGAGAAATACTTTTACTACTTATGATTCTACTCTATTATCACCACAATAAATCATGATTATCATGTTTCTAATTTTCAAAGGTGAATCTGAGCTTGGGTTAGTTTTTTTTAATTTAAGATCTCTTATTAGTAAATGTAGGAATGTGATTTAATCCCTGAGCCAGGTCAAGCTTTTAAATAAAAACGTATATGTATTATCCTATAAAATGTTATTACTTAGCAAGCTTGCTTCAGGGTTACATATTCATTGATATCATATCTACTTTATTTTTCTCAACTGATTATATATATGTTAAATATGTTTTTCATATTTACCATCTACCATAGATGCATATGCATAGCTGCTTTAGAATTGCAGTATTTTTATTTACTTAATTAATTAAATTTTATTTTATTTTATTTTTAGTTTGCTGTAGGGTATGTGCCTTTATTGGGGGGAAAGATGGGAAGGAGTGAGAAATCAGCCCCTGGGGACGATGGCTACATCACACTCCCTTCTCCTCAATTCTCCTCTCAGGATCCCTTTTCTTCCATTCTCCTCTCAGGATTTTGGGCACATAGATGGCAAAAGGTTAAGGCAGCCAGATCTCATATGACTGACTTCACAGTTCAAGTCCCAGATCAGACTGCTTGAAAATCACACAGGGCATGTATGCATGCAGTATGTTTATTTAAAAAAATAATAATTTGCTTACTAAAATTTATTTTGGTCTTATTAGTATAGAAATAAAGTTATTCACCTTTAAAAAATGTAAAATTCTTTTTTTTAAAGTATGGTTTGTGGCTGGATTAAATGTCTTTCATATTGGGTTTATTGTCAGATCTTTTTTACTTTAGGAAGGGATCACATTTTTCATACTTTTATAAGTACTGTAAATTTTATCTTTCAATTTGTACTGGTTCATTAACTCCAAGTCTCGACCATTTTTCTTTTCTTTAAGAATGTTTTACAATTACAACCAGCAGGTGGCGTGGTGATTAAAGGCACTGGACATTCCCACATGGGTGCCCACGCTTCGTGTCCTGGACCTGGTGGCTTGCTTTCTCACTTTCTCTCTCTCTCTGGTGAAATTAAAACTAAATGAATGAATACATAAAATTAAAATGAATAATTCTTAAAAAAGATAATGTTTTAAAATTTATTTATTTATTCCATGAGTGAGAAAAGACCAAGAGGGAAGAGAGACAGATACAGTGATGCAATATCCTTGACTGAGTCCCAATGACATGCTCCACCCCCTGCCCCAGCTGCCTGCATCATGGGTGCAGAACCCACTGCGTGCCCAGAGAGGTCTCTAGACACGAACTGACAACCCTCCCTCATGGGTCTGCCTTGTAGAGTATCTCATTCCACAAACAAGAGACCCTCTGGCCCCAACAATATTGTTATTGAAGAATTAAAAATGAGGAGTATTTTACCATGATCACAGAGGAACATTACTTGTACTCCCATATTTCTTAGCTCACTTGAAATTTGGAATGCTGAATCTTAGTGATTGGAAAATATATTCCACATATTTGGTGTTTATCATGATAACCTTTGGACCACTTTTAATACTTTATATATCTATAAATCTTTTTGTAATCTTCTCTCATAGACTCTATTTATGAATTACCAGTGTAACTATTTTTTTTTAAGTTAGTTTATTTCTTCCCTGAGAA